GGCCGCGCCCGCCTGCCGCTCGGTGCCGCTGTCCCGCGGCCGCTCCGGCCCCGGCGAGGGCGAGCCCGCGGGCAAGAGCCTCTCTTTCTCCTCCTTAAAGTCCGGGTGCGAAGGAGAGAGGAAAGGCGTGCGCTCTGAGCTTGCTAGCCCCGCGCTGCCACTGCCCTTGGGGGTACCTGAGAAGCAAGAACAGACAGTTAGGGCATGGAGTTGGGGAGCATCAGAGACTCCCAGCTCTTTCAGGGACCAGGAGTTTGGCAGCCTTGGTCCCATCTCACCAGCCCCCCTCTTCTCCCTCTCGCGGGCTCCCAAAGCCCAGCACCCTGGCCTTTAAATAGCAACAGGAGAGGGACCCAGCTACTCTGAGGCTGGGACCTCTGTGCTCCCACCCTTATGAAAGGACAGGTGACAACCGGGGGAGGAGGTCTGGAGGGGCAATCCTAGCAGCGTTGTAAAAGGTGATTTTGCCTTGTTAATAACTGAGCTGAAAGAGTTCCTCCAGATTTATAGGATGGCGTCATTTCACAGGCTGTTTGTTTGGAATCACGCTAAGGATTAACGCGGGGCTCCCCTTCCTCAGATGTTGTAAAGAGGAACCATCTCTGAACGCACCATTGTCAATCACCGTGGAGTGCTAATCATTCCGAAGAGGAGAGAGAGACAGAGACAGAGGGGGTGGGGGGGGGAGACGCAGAAAGAGATTGCAGCAGAGATAGACCGCCCAGCCCCAACTTGTGGACAAGTGCAAAGGGTTTGAGGGTAGAGCTATATATTGCGCCAGCCGGGTGCCTTGGCCTTCTGTAGTCCCTCCATCCCTAACTTCCCGACGACTCCTGAACCACGCGGTGTCTGTTCCCTGGCCTCCTCAAGAACGTCCACAGGACCAAGCAGGCAACTCTGGCGTGCGCATTCCCTCTCTTCCGCCTGGCACCCCAGCGGCCCCAACTCTGGTCAGAGGGGGCTCAGCACCTCGAGTCTCGGCTGAGTGCGCAGTTTCCCTCCCCTCGCGCTCGCCCGCTGCCAGACTGGCGACGTTCGATCCTTACCCAGGCAAGGAAAAGGAATGGGGGCATGGTGCTTGGGGCCCAGTTCCTTAGGGCCGTGCGGATCTGGGCAGAAGCAGGCTGGCGCCTTCCAGCCGTCGTCCGGCTCTTCCTCCTCCGAGGACACCGACAGGCTGCGCTTCCTGGCCGGCCAGCTGGTGGGCTCCCGCGGTGCCTCCGAGGGGCTCCCGCCCAGAATGGACTGAATGGTGAAGCTGGAGACAACACCGGTTGCCGGACACCCCTTGCCCGCATCTTCCTTGCTGCCCATCCTGGGTTCATAAGAAATCGGAGGAAAGCAAGAACTCCCTTTAGAGACGATGTGGGTGGAAAGTGGTGCAGGCAGGCAGGGGGGAGGGGCGGGGAGGTAGACCAAGGGCAGGGGACGGAGAGACTGGAGAGGCGTCCCTTCCGCGCGGGGGGCACGCGGGCACCGGACGGCTGCGAGGGAGTCCCTGCCCACTAGGCTCTGGATGCGCCCGCCCAGCCGGGTCGTGAATGCCCCTTCCCGGCCCGCCAGCTCTCCGGGTCTCCGGTGGCTCCGAGG